AGCCCGCTCGGAGCGCTGCCAGCTCCTGGGCAGAGCCCCGCTGTGCAGGGCATGGGCGACCGAGCGGCTCAGCTCCTTCGGACCCAAAGGGAAGGGGACACTGGAAGGTCCTGGAGGATGCAGGAACCGGCGCAGCATCGTTCCTGAGCTCCGGAAAAACCCGGATTGCGAAACCTTGTGAAATGCAAGAACGCTTCTGCTACGCAGCGTTTGCATGCCCCAAACCTCGTTACCACGTTTGATCTGCCTTTGGGGTTTACGTCTTTTTTTTATTTCTGTTTTATTTCATCTTTATCTTTCCTGCAGAAGCGGCAGATCTTGGTGACGGTCGTCGAAATCTGCCTGCCGCTGCTCTTCGCCGCCATCCTGATAGTGCTGCGGCACCGGGTGCACTCCATCAGCCACCCCAACGCCACCATCTACCCCCCCGAGCCCCTGGATGACCTGCCAGCCTTCTTCCACCGCCGGCACGCCGGCAACCCCTGGGAGCTGGCGTACGTCCCGTCCAACAGCAGTGCCGTCAGGAGCGTGGCCAAGGCGGTGGAGAGAGCTTTACCCATCAACATCAGAGGTGAGCAGGGGCCGAGGGCTGCGGCTTCCAGCCCAGGAACTGGTACGTGTTCTTACTCTGGTAAATCCCGATGCTCTGTTCCAGGGATGCATCAGTTTTATCAGAACTTTCAGGCAATGCCTTTGTTTTTGTTTCACTAAAACGACAAGATTTTGTTTTGATTTTTGGTCATGTTTTGTTGCGGTTTCCATCTAGAAGGACGTTGCCCTAAAATAGTTAAAGAACGTGGCTGCCACTTCCCTGAGACAAAGTATTTTTGGAAATCTTGTTGCACAGAATATTTTAGCGCTTCGTGTTCCAAACCGAAGATACTGTGAGGATTTTCTATGAGAGGAGAGCTGACTCCTGCTCTTGAGGAGGAATCACAGAATGATTTGGGTTGGAAGGGACCTCAAAGATCATCTCGTTCCAACCCCCCTGCCATGGGCAGGGACACCCTCCACTACACCAGGTTGCCCAAAGCCTCATCCAGCCTGGCCTTGAACACTGCCAGGGATGGGGCAGCCACAGCTTCTCTGGGGAACCTGATCCACTGCCTCAGCACCCTCAGAGGGAAGAATTTCTTCCTTTTATCTAATGGAAATCTCCCCTCTTCCAGTTTAAAGCCATTGCCCCTTGTCCATCACGACACGCCCTTGTCAAAATCATCTCCCTGCCCCGTGATGGGTGCAGCAGCATCCCACATAACCCCCCGTGTCTGCCAGCAGTGGCGTTTCCCAGCTCTGCCTGGAGCACATCCCTCGCATCCTGGACCAAAGTGACGTTTTTGGGGATGATCCAGCCTCAGCCAGTGCAGAGTTCCCATTCTCCGTGCCCCCATCTCTGTCTTTCCCTCCCTCCCCAGCTCAGGGCTTTGCCTCGGAGCGGGACTTTGAGGAGTACGTCAAGACGGACAACCGCTCGGGCAACGTGCTGGCCGCCGTCGTGTTCAAGCACCACTTCCATCAGAGCTCGGCCCCGCTGCCCCTCCAGGTGAGTGGAGCCAGGGGGGACGCGGGATGAGGACGGGGGGGGACACGCAGCATCCTCCCACCCTCCGGACCTCGCTCCTTTCCGTCCCGCCCGCGACGCCCTTTGCGTGCTCCTTCCAGGTCGACTATGAGCTGCGCTTCAAGTACAGCCCGAGGAACGCGCCGCGGAGCGAGCAGACGGGCCTGAACCCCAACCGGGACCGGGACTGGCACACCAGTTACCTCTTCCCACTCTTCCAGCTGCCCGGGCCCCGGGAAGCCAAGTTTGCCGACGGGGGGACGCCAGGTGAGGGCCGCGGGTTATTCCGGCCAAAGCGATGAGCGTTAGATTCACTGAGGCTCTGAGGTTTTAAATAAATAGTTTAATTTATTTTTTAAATGATTTTAATTCAGTTAATTGAATTTAAATAATTATTTCTAAATTTATTTAACTATTTTAAATAAATATCCCATCGCCTCCTGGGCATCCCTGGCCTCTGAGTGCCTCTGCTGAGAGCGGGTGGATCCAAACGGATTTTACTTAACGTGAACTTTTTAAATTTAATTTTTTTTCCCCCCCTCTCTTTTAAAATGTATTCTTGATGGAAAATTTATTTCGAGGTCTAAACTGCTCGGTGCTTATCGTGCTGCTTAAATGCTGTAG